TTTTTATTATTATTATTATTATTATTATTATTATTATTATTATTTTGTTATTATTCGTTGTTGAGTTGTAAGAGTAGTTCGTGTTAATAATAAAAATAAAAATAAAAAAGTGTAAAAAAGTTTATTTATTTATTTATTTATTAATTTTACAAAAAAAGTCGTTAAAAACTTTTTCAATTAAATAAATAAATAAATAAATAAATAAAATGAAAATAATTAATTTTGGTACGAAATTTATAAAAATGATTTTTTATCGACGGGTAAATAAATTTTTCTTTTTTTCACTCACAAAATTCGATTTGAATGATGAAAGATAGAAAGAGATAGAAGAAGGACAAGAATGGATGGGGATGGAAGAAGGACAAGGATGGATGGATGGATGAGGAGGATTTCGATTGGGATTTTTTTTTTTTTTTAGTCTTGTGTATTGCGAAAATCGATACGGACACGCGTGTAATAATAATAATAATAATAATGATAATAAACTTTAAAACCTGTTTTTCCCTTCCCTTTTCCCTCTCTCTCTCCCTCTTTATCTCTCTCTCTCTCTCTCTCTCTCTCTCTCTCTCTATGTCTTTCGTAAGAGGATTAACGATGTTGTGGTAATAATAATAAAAAAGCTATTATTATGAAATGGAAATGGGAGAATAAAAAAAAAAAAAAACACAAAAATTAATTTAATTAATTAATTAATAAATCGTTGTTGTGATGATAATGATAATGATGATGATGATGATGATACTGATAATAATAATTAAGAGACGTGGTTTCGGGTAGTGAGAACAGACAAAGAAAGTTTTATTTTTCTCTCTCTCTCTCTGTCGCAATTGAGGAAAACGGGTGGTAGTAATGGGAGAGGGGGTGGTGGTGGTGGTAGTGGTAGAAGTAAGGTTGGAATCTAATCGAGAGACGTTAAAAAAAAAAAAAAAAATATCCTTAATTTCGTACTGCGGTTGGGGGGGGGGGGGCGTGAGAGGCCGCGAATTGATCGTTTACAAAATTAATATGTTTTATTATTATTATTATTAAATGTTTTCCGTTTGGATTTTTCAGCAATCATTCTCTCTCTCTCTCACTTCCATGATTTCTTAGGAATAAATTTTTGTCTTTGTTGTAAACGACAAACGGGAAGGTTTCCGGGGGAAAAGCAAAAACAGGAAGAAATGCCAGATCACAGGTGTGTGCGTGTGCGTGTGCGTGTACGCGTGTGTTTTTTTGTAATTTTCGAAACAAATGTAACGTTTAATGTTGTGCGTGTGTTCTTGTCAATTAACAATAAAAAATATTTGCTGGCTGTTGTTGCTGTTGTTGCTTCTGCTGCTGCCACGATTTAATTTTATACGCAAAATTTACAAATGATCTCATTATTATTATCATTATTATTAATTAACCTTTTTTTCGTTTTCGTTTTCGTTTTTTTTTTTTTTTTTCCTGTGACACGAATAATAATAATAATAATAATAATAATAATAATAATAATATAATTAAATTCGATTCAATTGTTTAAAAATTCGATTTTTCCTAACGCGCACGTCACGCGTTCTGATTTTTTTTTTAAAAAATTTGTTTTGAATTTCAGGTATTGAAAAATGAAGATTCGGAAAATTTGCTGAAATCGAAATCGTGGACAAAAGGACACGAGAGGAAAAGTGATAAAAAATCACGACAGTTTTATTTGATAGGAATTTTCACATTGACGTGTTGCATAGGTAACTATTAATTCTTTTACCTTCGAACCAAACGACCTTGAATGAGAGAGAGAGAGAGAGAGAGGGGGGAGGGGAAAACTACCTGAATGATAAAGTCCAAATTATCAGGTACTATCGAGATGTGTGGTTGTGTGTGTGTGTGTGTGTATGTTTGATGAGACGTTAATAACGAATTGACTCAAGAGATTTTCTGTAATGACTTTTTAACACGTGCTTCACACGTGACGATGGCGAGGAAATCCAAAAATTTTTCTTTTTCTTGCATGTTTCAGCCGCGTATTTTCATTTGTATCGATGGAGCACTCATTCTCACAGCGCTAATTTCCTGGATAATTTTTCGATAAGTTTAGGATTAAAAAATTACGTTCATTCCATTGTGATAGATGCCGGAAGTACGGGTTCGAGAATATTATCCTACGGATTCGTGTCCTCGCCCGAAAGGAAAAGTCTCAAATTACACAAGGAATTTTTCCGGGAAATCAAACCGGGTATAAGTTTTTACGCGGATAGACCAAACGAAGTGAGTAGTGGTACCTACCTCCCATCCCCGTCGCACTACCTACCGGAAAAAAAAAAAATTCTGACCCTTCCCTTCGTTTTTCTTTGGTTTTCAGGTCGTCAAATCCTTAGAATTTTTAATAACGGAAGTTAAAAAATTCATACCGGAAAAAGACTGGTCGAAAACTTGGTTGCTCATGAAAGCGACGGCCGGACTCAGATTGCTACCGGAAACGAAAGCGAACGCATTGCTTCGCGAAGCTAAAAATTACATAGAAAAACAAGAATTTAAAATCCGGGAAGATTCCGTCGGGATAATGGACGGAACGGATGAAGGGTTATTATCTTGGTTTACCGTTAATTTTCTATTAGGTAGTAATAGACAAATGTCGAAGCGTTGTCGGTTTCCGGAAAATTAAATTTTTTTGTATTCATGTTGCTTAATGCTTACAAAGCAGAAGAAAAAAAAAATCCGTCGATTTTTAATTTTATGTTGTTTTGTTTTTTGCGAACGTTTGAACAGATCGTTTGAACGGCGAGGATGAAGAATCGTCAAACACGGTCGTAGCAATGGATCTCGGTGGTGGTTCGACACAAATTTCGTTCGTGCCATCGAAAAAGGATGAAATAATTCCGGAACAATCGCAATACGTTTCAAAAATTGGAATATTCGAGAAAAATTTAAACGTGTATAGTCGTAGGTAATGCCCTGTTATCATTATCATTATTATTAAGAGGAGGAGGAGGAGGAGGAGGAAGAAAAAACCGTTAATCGTTTGTTTGTCGTTTTCTGTTACAGTTACCTCGGATTGGGTTTGAACGAGGGTAGGAAAAGGATTTTCTTGAAAGAATTACAAGAATCGAACAATGTGAAATCCTCTTGTATAAATCCGTCGGTTAAAAAGTATTGGAAATATGGCGGAGTGGATTACACGATACAAGGTAACGAAAAGGGGAGGAGACGGGAGGGAGAAAGGGAAGAGAGGAGAGGATTGACCGGAAAAATTCGATTTCATTTACAGGTTCTACGAAACCTCGATACGTAACGGACAAGAGGGCGGTGGACGGAGTGCAAAAAACGATGGGAATGAATCCCGTTGTGGATTTCGACGAGTGCGAAAAAATCGTCAAATCCGTCGTGTCGGAATTTGAAAAATCTCCCGCATTGGACGGAAAGGAAATCTACGCATTTTCCTACTATTACGAAAAAGCATCCGAAAGCGGATTAGTCGATTTCGGATCGAGTGAGTATATACACGCGATTCTTAATCCGTTTGTAAGGATAAAAAATTTAATCTTTTTTTTATCTCTCTCTCTTTACAGATAGTAAAGTGACGATCAATGATTTAGAATCGACGGCGAAATCCGTTTGTTCAAATTCATACGTCAATCAACCGTTCATATGTTTAGATTTGATTTACATCACGGCTCTCTTTCGAGACGTTTTCGGAATAACAAATTCAACGAAAATTAACGTGAGGAAATTTTTTTTGTGTGAAAAAAAAAAAATTAAAATGGCGTTCGATAATTGAATTATTTATTTTATTTTTTTGGTTGCAGTTAGTTAAATATTTAGACGGACACGAAGTTAGTTGGGCACTTGGAGCCGCTTTTCTCAGCTTGCAAAATCAAATGTAATGATGATAATAATGATAATAATTGTGATGATGATGATGATGATAACGACAGCGATTCCGGACTTCAATAAGATGTAAGTTTATTTTTTTATTTATTTATTTCGTGCATGCGATTTGCAAGGTAGTTAGTTGATTTTTTTGACGATGTGTGGCGCTGATCGCAATAAATAATAAAAGACGTATGAATACGACGAAATCGTTCGCGGCGAATCCGAATGAGATTTTAAACGTTATTACCGCGTTTGACTTGAGGAGGTTATCGCTTCTCGGCCTTATGGCTAAGATCAAAGTGTAGTATCTGTTCTTATCAGCTTAATATCTGATACGACCCTCATTGAGGGTCCAGAATATTAAACTGATTTTTGGAAACGGATG